AATAATATTTTTACTATTTTTAATGTAATCGTCTGTTTTTAGTTTTTGCTTTTTTGAATAATAACATACAGATTTGTAATTTCATATTCTAATAGCTTATTATTTTATTAGATAGTTATAACTTATAACTTAAGTAGGTACTTAATAAGTTAAGCGTTATGTGAGCGGAGTAGAGGTTCAACATTTTATGGATTACCATCGTGTATATGCAACGCTACAACTACTTCAACAATCAGGAATATTAATATCATCAGGACCGAATCAAGCTAATTGGGGCTTAGGAAAAATAGTTTGTTATAATTATTTTGGAAAACTAAAGAACATAAATTGATATAAAATATGGGCTACAGCCCTACAGGCTACAGGTATTCACTCTGCTCCATGGCGGCATGGATACAGATGTGTTCCTGGTTAGTATATTACTATATTAGTATTATTAGTATTGAAAATTAATACCTATTTCATCAGTTATCACATTTGTAGGTAATGAGGTTTGACCGTTTGGGTACTTAGTTAATTCTTGCTAGTCCGTTAAAAAAATTCGACGGTTATCTGCAGTTTTGATTTAATAAACTTATAGTTTAGATACTATAACACTATATATAGCAGAGACAATTAAGTAAATCGAAATATTAGTAAAATATACCTATTTAACTCTACATGATTTACAATTAGTCACATAAAATGTTCTATTTCTAGGAACCCAAAAAAATTGACACTAAATTATATTATTCACATGATAATAAAACCATTTAAAATCATAATTGTGAAACCAATACATTACTCGCTTCATTAAGAATTAAAAAAAAATAAATAGTTTAGATCGAGGTTTAGCTGATAGTCAAATTTAATTCTTGACATTTTCTTAATGATATGCAAATTCATAAAAAATGATAAGATATGAAAGACATATCATTATTATAGACTATAGCTGATATTCGTTGTTGTTGTCACTATTATCTTGAATAAAATACGTACAGTACATTAAAATTATAGATTTAAGTAAAATTTAAGATTGGTTAAATATACAACATTAAAAACATATTATTTTTAATTAATCGTAAATCTTATACATTAATATTTAATGTTATAAACTATATTCATAAGCTATGTGAATGTGTATATTGCTAATGTCGAATAATTAAAATTAAAACTTCAATACGCATCTAAATTAATTTTGAAGTCACCGTGTTCCATAGCCGATTAAGTAAATGCGAAGTTATGATTTTAAAATGGGTTACTCCAGCAAAAATTACAACGAGATCCGAGTACTCACTTATGCTGCGTCACCATGGCATTTATAAAGGTGAAATTCTGGTATGAATAATATTATAATATACCTACACACCATCTGTGTGCTGAAACGCATGACGTTGTAGTGTTGTACACGTGTAGGGCACAGCCAAGGGTACGATTATTTAATCATATTATTTAAGACCGAGAATAATTTTTCCATGCCGAAAATATTGTTTTCTATTTTTAATAAAACTATAAAAAAACCAACAAGCAGGCCGTTATGTTACATATTATTACGCTTGGCGAGGCAAGGCACATCACCGGGACTCGGCACGTTCTTAGAAAAAAAATTGCGGGGGAGGGTGAGAGCAGGCTTATCTCATAACTAATACAAATTACAAATCAAAATGTCGTACAATATGCCTATACATATTATTATAAGAATAAAAAAATATTTTCTCATAACATTACAGTAGGCGGGGGAGGGTTAAGCCCAAACCCTCCTGCAGTATAATCGTCTGCCCAGGCTCGATTATTATACGATTAATGCGGACGCCGTTTACGTGAAAAATATGTACGTCTGGACTCTCGAGGTGTTTGCATATGAGGAGGAGGACACTTGGGACACAACGAGGGTTCACAAGCGGACATCAGACAAGTGTCGTCTGTAGCAGAGACAATATTATAACACTAAACTAGAACATTATATCTACTTGATACGAGCAGACACAATAGATAGTGCGAATGGCGTGATGAAGGACTCGTATACGCATATACATATTATAATATACGTTAATTGTACCATATACATGATGTGTCACACCATACCTATTTGTATAATATGTATATATTGTATAATATATGTATATACATTGACACGTGGTATATATACGAGCAACGAATGATGTATGAGTCCGTCGTCGTCGACGTAGGTCTCAAGTGTATGGTATGTATATAATATCATTATACGAGGTACCTCTAGATGTATAATAGTGAAATATATAGACAGAGAGAGAGAGAGATGAAGTGAAAAAGGTGTTATAATGATGACGATTACGTCCAAGTGGCGAACAAACTCTTGTGTCGCCGCCATCGGGATAATATAATATAACGTCATATTATTATTATTTTTACTACTACTACTACTACTACTATTACTACTACTACTACTATATATAGATATCTGATATATCTTGTACATGATGTATAGTATTAGGTATACATATTATATGTATCATTACAATGGGGTTCACACGAGTCGTTGCCCCTTTATTCTTAGTAATTTAGATTTAGCGTTTTGCCTACACAATAATATACAACGTGCACATAATATTATATAATTTATACGATGGGATTCTTTTACACATCAAACACTGGTTATTTCGACCAGTGCCTATAATAATTAATATGTATCTATTACATTGACATATTTGGAAATTTTCTCTTCGGAAAATGTGTAATAATATGATAAACGCACTTATACATGAACATGATTATCCCAAATACTTTTTTCTACCTGATGTTTGCGGTAAACCCGCTATATAACAACGTTTATATTTTTAAATAACATTGAAAATACATAATATTGTTTATGAGAATGTCGATGAGCCAGTGTGCCGTGTATCAAATAGTTTAGACGAGTGGAGACATTTGTGGAGTGGTGGGAGTGTGGGACAGCAAATTCCCTAGATATTCGATATACTAGGTGCTATTCTTATAGTCTTATCGAAACTTTAAGTGCTACTTTATATATGTATACGCAGCTTACATTTTAACTGAAGTAACAAAAACGACCTATTCGTCATTTCATTCAGTATTCAATACCGCATTAAAGATTAAATATAAAACCACTTAGAACCATATTATAGGTACCAATCTACTATATACCCAGGTAAAGTGTTACACTAATACAGTATATACACTATGAACATATTGTATTGAATCCATCTCAATTTTTTTTCCAAATAATTAGACAGGTACTACCTAAGTGCACTGTACAGGGGTGGACTGAACCCATATTTCAGGCCGGAAATTTTTTAGACAGGTCAGGAAAATGTTTTCTGATGTAACAGAAAAAAAATGAGTTTTTTACAGCCAGTCAGGTCAGACCACCACGCGAAATGTCTTGTCCTTCCGCCGAGCCAGTCCTCCCCTACCTATAACATATTATGTTTATTCTCGAAATATCTTGCACGTTCGGTATGTTCACAACTGAAAGCGTATTGTCTCGTATCAATGTAGAACTCCTTTAATATAATATAATACGCCGGATAAGCTGTATAACGGACGGTCCTCGCACTATATAGATACCTATCATCGACAAGCAACAAGTGATATTATCACCTATACGAGAATATTATAATATAATGGGTTTTTAAAATGATTTTCGTCGGTCATCTCTATATACCGCATATTATATTATACCTACTGCAGGTATTAGGTAAACCAATTTGTACCAACACTGCAGTACACATATTATGATATTATATCGTGTATATTATGCATTCTATTGGTGCCTATATATATATATTGTATACCAATAAAATATACCTACCATATAGTTTATAATATATTATATATAGCTATAGGTGCTTCCTATATACGGCTATATACGTATATTATTATAATAACGGTCAGCGACGAGGATTGTGCACGGCGGCGTGCGCCTGTATAATATAGGTACTTTTTTTATGGACACTGACGTTTTAGTCGTTATTTTAACACCCGACTTATTGGACGTATTTCTTTTTCGTTTTATGGACCAATAATAGTGTTCGTGTGTGTTCGTATATTATATTATATTGTACGTATAATGTATGTAGCGTATTATATTATTATATGCCTAGTAATATACCTGCAACCGCCGCCACCGCGCCGCCAGTATATTACTCGCTTTATATTATAACATTATATAGCTATAGGTAGGTATATGGTATAGGTAATAGGTATCTATAGGTATTATGGCACATTAGTACATAAATAAGGTGGCGTGTGACACCACCGCCGCCCGGTCGCTATATATTCTAATCCGATTACCTGCGTTCCTTGCCTGCGCCTTATTGGATCCTCTGCAGCGCTCGCTGTACCTATACCGACGAACAATAATAATAATTATAGTAGAAAAAAAAAATAACCAAAAATCGTTGGAGACCTGCAGTGGTTTTGAATTGTACCAACAAGTGTCCGAGACATTATCAGTATTATTTTTTAATATTGTTGTTCATTTGGTGCGGTTAGACTGATGGCAAAGGCCAAGGAGGCCAGGAGGGGCAATCCCCCCGTCCATAGCCAACAAAAATATTCATGTTCGACAAAATTTTAAATTGGGGTAAAAATGTAAAAATACAATTGTTTGTGCCCCCACCGTTATGATTTGTCTATCTACGCCCTTGACTGAGGGTATACTGCATGTCAACCCCTTACTCACCTAGCTGTAGGTATACATTATTTATTGTTGTTATTTTACAGCCAAAAGTAGAATAGGTACTAGTACTTTTCTAAAAATGTCGACAATATATATGTAATATTATTAGTTTCGTTTTATTTGTAAGCATTCAAAGTTTAAATAAACGAAGTAGTGCTAACCGAAAATCTCGCCGGGTGGGTACGAGTAAAATAATTTTCAAATTCTCATAGTCCATATATTTGTTAAAATAATTGACCTGAATATATATAATGTACTTGCGTGCGTGTAATACTGCAATATATAGTATTATATCATATTATGTATTAGTATGTGACAATAACGGTGTGCTCTGTTTCAGGCGAACATCTGAAAGAAAAGTACGAAGGTGCCATCGAGGTGAGGGCTACAAGACGAGGACGGTTACAGATCAGGGATCCTAGATTCAGTCTGCCGACGGCAAGCGATCTCGTCTACATCGACGACTCGCCCAACTACTGCATTAGGAACATCACAGCCGGTTCTATAGGTAATAATTTTTATGGTCTTATTATGGTCCAGAGACTTTTGGAAGTTGTATGTTTATTTTGGATACCTTACTAAATAGCAGGTTTAAATAATTTTGAGGTTTATTCTGCAAAAAAAAAGTTAATCATATGTATAAACGTACCTAATTTAAAAATTGAAATCCCATATATTGCCAACATTGTGTATTTATTTAATATTTATGTGCTTATATCTATATTGTTATATGCTATCTATATGGTTTTTCTGTAGAGCTCCTCGACGCGGATGACAATCTTGCAGAATTTCTATAATATATTGACTTATGATTTTGATTTTAATTAAGTTCTGAATTGAAGTGATATGGAACTATGGAATCGGTCTAATTATACAATAAAATAATAACGAATAATTCAAATAAATACGACACAACAATTTCAATAATTTAGTCAAACTTTTTTTGTTTTATTGCATATTCGGTAATTTTTTAGTGCATATCAGCAATCTGTTGCATATTTGTGTTTTTTCTTTAGTTTTACTCATTTTAACCCTGTAGTAATAACACAATATTATAATAACTGGTAATAGTGTAATTTAGTTGGACCACAGGTGTTTTATTTATTTATTATAGTCCACTAATTTGTACCAAAACCAAAAAAAATATCATCTCTTAAAATTTTAAACCAACAAATTTAGTAGAGAATACACCTAACGTTGCATTTTAACCGACATCCACAATTCCAATACACATCTTTTTTCAAAATCATCTATAAGTAGATACAATTTTAATAGGTACTTGTATATAGGTACATAAATCCAAACCCACTAGGGGACCCTATTTGGCTCTATATCATGCCACTGAACGTTTTAGTAGTACCTATGTATATATTATTATAGATAAGTGCCTGTGTTTAGGATTGTTGTGCTCTCAGACTCAATAGCCAATAAGCCATCGTTTTATTAATAAATATATAGCTCGAGACTTCCTCGAGATTTCGTCATTTCGATCACATATTCACATAGTATAATATAATAATATCGTGTTATGACTTATGAGTTATGATGACTACAGAAGTGTGTGTTTTGTAATCGATAATGATAAATAATTGTGCTCTCAACCACAATCCCCCATCGAAAACAAACGTTCTCGTGGATCATGATTGATGTGTGATTTTCGTTGGTTATGGTTATAGTTGCGGTGCATTATTAGTTATTATCCACTCTTCTTTAATAACGACTAACGAGTGAACGACTGATACGATATAATAGTGAGTAGTGAGCCGTATTAGGTACATCCTCTTGGGGTCAAAAAGCCCATGTAAGTTTGTGAAGTCTCGTGTTGACGAGCAGTCATAATAAAATCAAAAATGTAATGGGACAATGCTTAATAGAAAAAAAAAGTTTTTTAATGATGTCACATTTGAGTGAATTATTTATTGAAGTTCCGTCAACACGTCTTAAATAAACAATTGATTTGGCAAATATATAACAATACTTCATAGTGTCGAAAACGATTAACTCATAAGTCATTAGTAGGGCCGGGATTTATATATAATATGAAAGCAAAAATATGTACATAGGAGCACAGAAGATTATTATTATGCCGAACGTCGATACATATCTTTTTGAAACCTCTTGAAATAATTATCAATTGCCATCACTGCAATAAAACTCGATATCTCGAACTTTTTTCTGTACCCTCCGAGTTTCGACATAGGTAACGAGAGTTATTTACTGTATTTTTAACTACACACTTACAACAATTTTGACGAGTAATAGTATCAAAGTAGGTATAATTTTCTACAAAACCACCGATTTTTATGATATAAATTATTGACTAATTGTTTTACTTTTCAGTATTAGGGAATTTACAATTTACAAAATATGTAAGACGAAAGCAGATATTTTAAAATTATGTAAAAATACCTATTTATGACGAAATATGTAAAACAAAAAATATCTTATTTTATTGCAAATCACTTGAAACAAATTTATCATTTGTCTTAGTTAATTTATCAAGCTTTAGTAAACATTTGTCTTTACATAAAAATCCTAGCCCTAGTCATAAGGGTCTACAATTAGTAGGTACAGAAATAGAAATATTTCAAATCCATTACATAATAATATGTTTCACTGATATTGTCTGATGATACAATATTTAATCAATTCTAAAACTATACTTTTTTTTTTACCTAAACTGGGGGTTCATACAATATTTAATTATATAATATCATAATTTTTCAGGTACTCATGGCCGAGAATGTAACCGTACATCACATGGAATGGATGGTTGCAGTTTACTATGTTGTGGTAGGGGCTACAATACACAACGATTGGTCACACGCGAAAAATGCGAATGCAAATTTCATTGGTGTTGTTATGTGCAGTGTAAGACATGTACCCGTAATGCTGAAGTACATACGTGTAAATAGAGTAAAACCGCAAAAGAAAAAGAACATTTAAGAATTGAACATTAGATCTCAAAATATAAACTTTTGACTTCCTCCCTTATCCCACTTACCTATAATTTAATAATGTGTTTTTGATTTTCCTTGTCTTTTAATACAAAACAATCATAACACAAAGCCCATATCCCAGGCCTACCTATTTATTTATCAAAGTACAGATTTATTTTGTTTTTTTTATGTTATGGACTATTTTGGAAAATGTAAATATTAAAAATTAATATTTTAACAGTAAAAATTATAATTATATATTTATTAAGGCTGTTTTGTTTCAACGGACTGAGACAAATTGGCCAATAAAGTAGACTATTTATGTTTTAAGGATGATAATTTTTTTATTTATTTATAATTTTAGTAAGTTTGAGTGAAAACTAAACAAGAATGTAATTAACAATAAAAAAAACTTGTTTTTTTTTTTATAGTATAGATATATTATTATAAATGTAGTAGTTTATATTATAGAGAGTTGTGCACAAATTGGAATAAGAAAATTAATAAATATCACAAATCAATTTTTTTTTTTTTTTGTCTACCATTTTATTTTTTGTGTAATCCAGTTCTCATCAACAATTTCAAATGCTTGGTTCTGATCTCTTTTCATCGTTTGATATTTATTAACGTTATTTTTATTACTGAAATAACAGAAATAGTATTAATGTTAAACAGATATAAAAAAATTAGTTAACAAGTTATAAACATACCTTGAATGAATCACAACATGAGTAGTATTGCTATCAATATTTTTACAGACTGTGCCTCCATTAAATTTAAATATCAGCATTTCCAACACTGTGTTTGTGTGGAAATTTCTGACAGGCAAATTTTCCTGAAACATATTCAATAATATGATGTTAGTTTTTATATAAAAGTATATGTATATAATAGTTTATATGGTAGTATATAGCAATTTGATAAAAATCCTAAAAAAATAAATATTCTTAAGAGGACATGATACCCGCATGTGTTGTCTCCGTCTTACAAGTGCGTAACATGGCAAATTCTACTCAAAGCAGAACACGTGTAGGCGTGTAGCTCCGTTAGTTTAAAATTTAAAGTGAATTGACCTCTTACAAAATCTAAAGGTAAGATTATTATCTGGACAACCTCATGGGATTTTTATTATATTTTAATTTTTTAGCTAGTTATGAGTACTTTAAGATCTATAAACAATTTACAATTTTAAAATACTTATAGCTCGCTCAAAAATTAAAATATAATAAAAAGTCCATGAGGTTGTCTAGATAATAATCTTATGTTTAGATTTTACAAGATGTTAATTTACTCTAATTTTTTAATTAACGGAGCTATACGTGTTTTGCTGAGCGTAAAATTTGTTGTTATGCACTCGTAGAACGAAGACAACACATGATGATATCACGTCCTCTTAAGCTAGATAAACTTGTTTGATTATTTATCAATATCACATTAACTACGTAATGACTTATTGTTGATTTAATTTTGACCTGTATCCTAACTATTTACACTTTATAGCTATTTTTAATAAATGAGCAGAAAAAATGTAACAACAAACAATCGATAAAGGCAATGTTAAGGTATACATAAAATATACGTTTCTGTTTTATGCACCAAAAAAATTATTGCTAAGTGTTTACTTAGAGCCTACATTTTTATTAAACTTACTAAATTTAAATCATCAAAATAGACTTGGCATTTTTCAAAAATTTTGAAACATTGTTCTTCATTAAAGAGTTCGTTTTGGAATTCCAAAAAAGCATCAACTTCTGTGTTGACTAAATCGTCCTGTATAAAAACCATGATCAGTTAAAAATAGTTATTTGTTAATGAGTACTATAACTCTAAAGCATAATAATAATTATTGATGCATACATCTAGTTCAACTCGATCCATTGCACGGCGTAATGTTTCAACAGTAGCTAATTCTGTATAACTGTCACCATACTGATCAAAGTTTTCATCCATTAATAGCTGATGTTCCTTGGATAAAAACAAAACGTTTTCGGGTGTCCAGTTAAGAAATTCATTGTCAATAAAACATGACAGTATCCATTTTGTACTTATTATACTATGTTTTCCTGATAATTTTATTGCATGTGCCCTTATATGTTTGATATTGTTGGCAAGAACACAAAAAGTATCGTTGCCTAAGAAGAAATTTAAATTTCATTTAATTTGTTTTACAAAGTATTTAATAACTACTAATGTTTCTTTTACCAGGGTTTTGTACAACTCGACCACCATATTCAAGAATCTTTTTCTCGATTTCACTCTTGTTCAAAGTTTCACTATCATTGAGGACACAAAATTCTTTGTCTTCAAACATATTATTAATAGATTTGACATCTCTTATATTTGGGCCGAGAAATTTTTTATCAACGGTTAATGTCACACGGTTTTTTTTAATTTTTCCTGAAGAATTTGTTTCATCAATATTTGAGGTATACAACTTTCCCTCTGTTTGCTAAAAGGGTAAAAAATATATTGAATTAACAACGAATCCACGAGTATCTGTTATTATTTCTTTAAGAGTTAAATTAACAAACCTTGATTATAGACTCAAATTCGTTAACGGTCAGACAGTCATGCCACGGTTTGTCGTAACGAACTCTTTCGATTCGTGGAAAACGTAATGTTATTTTACTTTTAAAAGTGTGGCTTGTCATAATTTCTGTTGCTTTTACCTGTTCACAAATTTACCATCTTAACTATTTCAAACACTTATTATAAGTGAAAAGTAATTATGTTCTCTTTACCTGTACAATAACTGATGATTCAGGTTCAATCCAAAGGTCTGGCTTTTCTTTACCCCACTCAATGTTTGGTGGCATCTTTCCAGGGTAAACTCTTTTCCAGTGAGAAGACAATTTTTTCGATAAATCGGCTAGTTCTTCTGTTGAAAACCCTGAACTAACTCGACTGATAGCAGAACATTTAAATGATTCACCATCTATAAATTGTGTTTACCATATACATTATACATATGGTGAGGACTAGAAAACCGGACAGAATACTGAGACTGGGTCTTAAAAACTAGGCGGGGATTGCCAAACAAATATTAGAAAATAAGTTATTATTGAATAGGTATAAATTTTATTTATATAACTAATACATATGTACTAGTTGTCAATTTAAAATTTAAAATTACCTTTTTCTAAAAGACCCATAAGGAAATGGCTAACCACACCTCGTTTTTTACCTTCACCATAGTATCCGCCGATAATTAAAAGGTCTAATTCAATGAGTGCACCATCTGTATACTAAAACATATAATTAGTAAATATTGAGCATTGATTAAAATTTAAATAAATATTGGTAGCGGAAAGATTGAAAAATTCTCACTTCTGGTTTAATTTTATACCATCCTGCATTTCGTGAATTTGGCTTATAAATTGATAATGGATCTTTGACTACAATGCCCTCTTCATGGTTATCAATTGCATCATTGAGATATTTCATTAATTCATTTCTAAAATATTTGAATAAGATTTATACTCATTTATACTTCAACAATAGCATAATAATATCTACAATCAATGATAATACAATTAAATTTATTACTTTTTTGCTTTATGTCGAGTGGTATGCACAAAAACCCCTTCTAATGGTTCAAATATTGTATTTAAAATATCTAATCGTTTTTCCAATGGAAGGTTAGTAATTACTCGATCATTATAATAGAGAATATCAAATACACAAAAACATGGTTGATGTGTATTCCCTATTCTTAATTTTTTTACATCAATATTCATGGCTAAAATAATAATAATAATAATTCATTTTTGTAATTTATAATTTATTATAATATATTACCTTTTGTAGAAAATGATTTGTACTTAGTGTTATAACACATCATCTCACCGTCTAAGATGCAATTCTTTACATCGGATTTAAATTGTTTTGATAATACTGGGCTCAGAACACCATTAACATCATTACAACCATATGTATCTGTATAGTCATTGCCTCTTCTATAAAAATAAACAGATAATATATCAAATAAGAACAGATAACTAATATATTAATACCTATATAAATTAATGAGAAATTTATTAACATACCTGGAAAAATATTTAAAAATATTATTTTCTTTAGACCAATGAAGTTGAAATCTTTCACCATCCAATTTAATGTCAACAAATAAATCTTCATTCTTAATTGTCTTATTTATTTTACTGTCATCAGTAATTTCACAGCGTTGGCTTAGCATTGGGCAAAAAGGTTCAAATAAATTAACAGATATTTCATGCAAAACCACCGATGGGTTATTAAGCATTTTGCATACCTAAATTAATTACACATTTATTACACACTTATTCTAAAATTGTACATATAAATATTATATTACTTTTCTTAAATCATTGCAAACATCATATAAATCGTTGGCATCATCATGATATGCCTTTAATATTTTTGTATGCGCAAGACCCAAGCGCATATCTTTTAATAGTAGACGAATTAACCATTTTTGCTCAATAGCACTGACTTTTAATAGCATTGATTGTAATATTTGTTCCACTTCTCCTAATTTATAATATATTTTAAATGTTTGACGTCCATAAGTTTATAATAAACAACTAAGAAGATTGTATCTATAGACTATATTGTGAAATACTGAAATATAAATTACTTGATTCATTGGTAGCATGTTTCAAGGCTATTTCATCCAATATTTGGTTAATATCAGCTATAGTCATTGAACCATTGTCTTCGAATCGACTTCTTATAACCCAATACAGAGTTTCAGCAAAGTCTCCAGCTGTAGACCCAGAAACTTTTGGCACCCTGTATAAGTATTAATAGTATTATTATTATTTTATAGGCCTATTTATCAACATTTTAGTATATTCGGAACATTAATAATTATAATTAAAGTAAGTTACATGCCTGAAATTCAAAAGCTTTTGAGCATCTGGACTGTCTTTTGCAAGGCATAGTATTTTTACATACAACTTTCCTAAAGCAGCTTCTTTAACTCCGTACGCACCCCTTTGTTTGTCTGATACAGGTAACAGTAATCTTAATGCTGGATAAAATGTATCTTCCTAAACATATTATATTTTCTATTAATGTATAAACAGAGCGCCAGTCTGGCCCACCAAGCTATTGCGGTGGGTCCTTGGATATTTTTATACATTGGGAGTCCTAGCCAAATAGGAAAGAAATAATAAAAAAAAAATTAACTGTTCAATGTAATATTATATAACAGTTAAATAGATAATAATATATAAATAATATTATGACTAATAGCCTCCATTTTACCATGGTCTAAAAAAAATTCTAAATTAGTCATTTTATAGAGTTATTAATTTATAATATGGAGAAAAAACAATTTAATTAAATTGTTTTTTAAATTTTTAAAAATAGGTTGAATTTTTAAATGAATGAAATCAACTTATATTTTCAAAAATAAAGCATAATATTAAAAAATTGTATGATTTCCAGACTTTAAAAACTAATGCTAATCCAATAGGAAATAAAGAACACACTACTAAATTTTTATAATATTGTTCAATGTATTCACCATAACTTTTCAAAATAATTATTTTAAAATTTTTAAAACCAAAAAAAGACTTACTTTTTTAAATAAAAGGGAAGCAATTAGTCATATAATATATTTTAAAAAAAATGCTCTAGAATATCTGCATTACATATCGAAATACAGTCGCTGGCTTTCCAATTAATTAACATACTGTAGATATATTATTATATTTATTTTAATTTTGTATCTATTTAATCATTAAAAAGTACCTGTATATTTTTTACTATAACAATTGTTAAACTCTGAAATTATATTTTTTTTAAGGTTTTATGTAGCTGTACATTATTTTGTTTAAATTAACACATAAGAATTCTGTCTGACAATTAACATCATGTTTATGAGATTGGACTCTATACTCCATTCACATTAAGAAGGAACCTCAGCAGCCGATTTGTGAGCAGTGGCATGACTTAACCACACAGATGATTGATATGTGGGGGTTACAAACAGGTGTTGCCTGGCAAAAACTGGTTGCCATCGAGGTTCCTTCTTAATGTGAATGGAGTATAGTTATGATTATGACATAAATTGAACAGGGAAAATAAAATCACCTATACAGGTAATTATTAATCAGATCAACACTGCATAAATAGAATAAGATATTTTATTTTGTATCAACTAACTTACTATATTTAAGTTGTCACTTTTCTCAATTGACCCTCGACATTTACTAATGAATTTTTCTAGAATCAGGACTTTCTTTTCATTTTTAGCATTATAAATGTCTTCACATACTCGACAAAATAATTCAAATGGTATTTTGTTGCAAGGTTTACTGATTGTAGTAGCCATGATTCTAACAAATATGATCAAAATTAACATTTTAATAGCTATTTTATTGTATGTACATATTAAACATTAAACTGGAAAAATAAATATATATTTAAAAATTCAATTTAAAAACTAATTACAATTTACAATCAAACAATAATTTATGCTTGTAACACCAAAAAATTAAACATTAATTAAAATAATTAAAAATGATAAATATGTTCAGAAAATCAGTAAAAAAAAATTTTAAATAATGACTATTCAAACTTGCACAAGACTAATATACATCAATGCAACATCAACATTTCCAGAGTCCAGGTAAATCAAATGCAAATTATAAGCTGCAGCATGATTTAAACAATGTTCCTCGCTAAATGGTTTGGTTTCCAAAACTAATTTATAGTAATGCAGGGATTTTGCTACCATACCAACTTGATGATATGCTCTGGCAATGTTGAAATAACACTCCTGTTCATGTTCAACACCTCTGTGTTCTTTATACTTCATTAAGAATCCAATGCCCTGGAGTGATAAACTGTGTCTGTCTGCACCAACCTTAAATGTGCAAAGCCTGAGTATAATCACTCCAAGCATGAAGTAGAGCTGACTTTTGTCATCTAGTTTGTTCAGTAGTTCAGTATACCTCGAAAATAAAAGCTGGTAATTATATGCATCGTTAAACACATTGGTGTCTAGTAAATTAAGGGCAATATTATCTGGATACTTGGCAGCAAGTCGAAAAATGAATTTTGCTTGTTTTTTGGCAGAACACTTTTTCAAAAGGAAACAAAATAAATTGGAAATCTGTGGTGCTTGGGGATACTTAAATAATAAGTATCTGGACAACATGAAACCTAGTTTGTACGCTCGAACTTTGTATGCAAATTTTATAGCATTCAAAACAATTTGATGATTGTAGTTTACTAATACAGTGGAGTTCATCGCTGAAAGCAGCAACTTCAAACCTTTGTAGTAAAAATTTTTCTCAATACACTTCAAGCAAACAGCACACATAATGTTCCATTCTTCTTCAGCGCTAGGTAGAGGATTAATGGTCAAGACATTATCATGTTGGTAACCTAACAATTCTTTCTTCATTGTTAATAAAGTATCATGTCTATTTTCTACATTTTGTATTGCCAACATAGATTTAACTTCTCTTAACGAATTTACAGGTAAACAGTGACGAGAAAACATCAAATTAGCTGCTTTCCAACACTTTTCAAACATATCATCTTTATCGTATGATGCCAAGACATATTCATACAACAATCTACAGTCTAGATTTTCCACGTCATTCTGAAACAATACTTCCAGACTTTGTTCTATTCTGTTTAACTTTTTCAATGACATATATAAATCAAATTTAACTGTTAATTGTTGTGGGTTGACATCCAGTAGCTTGTTATAATTGTCAATAGCTTGTTCAAGATGTCCTAAAGTTTTTAAACAATCGGAATACTTAATTTTGATTGCATGCTGATGCTGATTAACAAGCTCATTTTCAGAGTTAATCAATCGCTCTAGAAATATAATTGCATGTTTATGCTGATTAGCCTCAAACAGGATATTAGCAATATCTAAATGAAATTTATTCACGTCCGTCATATTCAATATTGGTTCATAAATTGGTGATAATATAGAAAATCCTTCAAGTTGTACCAAAATTTCAATAAGTTTGACTCTTACTAACATTGGCATAGTAATAGGAGCAGAGCATTCTAAAATTTCTATTATACATGTTTCGTTACTCAAGTCAGCTACAAAGTCAACATAATAATGCTCGCACAACAGTTCTAAACTTTTTCTAAAGTTTTTAGTTTTAACAAGATAATCTAAACATGTCACAAAATCATTAGGTTTTATATCATCTGGAAACAAATTAAACACATGTATCAATATATTCGATGCACGTTCATAATTTTTGTTTTTGACAAAGTTGTCAATTAGTAATTTTGATAAAGTAGTAATTGAATCTTTTTGATCAGGTCGTAACTTACGTAATAGACGGTCATATTCATTCATGGCACTTTTAGCTGTGCCCAGTTGTTCTAAAATCGATGCTCTTTTAATATGTAAGTCTAAATTACGCCTATCTTTTTGTATGGCTTTTGTCAAACAAAAATCTGTTAAAGGCAACATGTTATTTGACTCACATGTTTCACCTAATAAAACCCAATCTTCAGACGTTACACTACTTAAACTGTTACCAATTACAGCTGTTTCTAAACTTTTCTTCATGTTTCCCATTTGCTCGTAGATATCGGACAATGTGAAAAATGGTTCAGATGCATTTGGACACTCTTTCAATATATTCACACAAATTTGAATGGCCATGTTATAGTTTTTTCTTAACATAAACATTTTAGCTTGACCAATGAGCCCTCTCAAAGCTAATGGTATTTTTCCCATTTGTCTTGAGCGGGGCCCTTCAACCACCGTGTCATCATCTTTGACATCTAATTTTGTTCTCTTGCTTGGCGATTTATTTATTTTATCATCAACGGGTTGGGCGTTAATATCTTGGTGTGAATCGTGGCTTTGTATGGTATTTCCTTCCAAATTGTAAACAATAGCCAATTCTTCATTTTCAGACGTACCATCAGGTACTTCGATTTTAGTTTCTATAGTGGGTGTTTCGATTTCTTGAACATCCAAAAAGTCAAATATATCATCATCAGGTATGTTGGACTCTTTCGACAAGTCCATAAAGACGTCTGGTGTACCTTCGTCCAAGACGATCTCCATGTCCTCGATATTCAACAAAGGTTCTGCCATATTAAACAATATATTAAACAAATAAGTGAAAACTTACCAAGTCGGACGACAGACGATTATCGGATTATTGTTGTAAAGATTTTTACTGATTTTAGTTATTTAAAATGTAAACAAACACAGTGTTGATGGCATTGGCCATTGATAATAAAATATTAAAATCAATGGTTTATCGTTTGTCACTCTTATCAGTTCCCCGCTGTTATCGTCTCGCCCACCGAGTGGAACGTAGCAACGGTAGTCGGTAATGGCAGAAAGGTAAACGTTAGGTTAACGACAAAACAAAGCCGTCGTTTTTGTTTGGTGTATGAAGTCATAACCGAAATACCTTATACCGTATAATGTACTATGTACAAGACGTATAACGTTTTCAACTATATACATGAAACATTGTACAACAGATTTCAATTTCAAGTTGTCTGTTAAAAGTCGTTGGCCGTTGTTGTGTTCGTCTGTGCTTGCGCAGTGAGGACAAGGTCCTTGATCCTATGATTCTGATGCGAATCAGTATCATGATAAATGTTTATTCGGTAATCGACTTCGACGTTCGGTGACAGTGTGATACGTTATTGAAGACCGCAAAAATAACAAAGTTGTCTCGTAACTCGTTTAATATTTCAAAATTTATGTAGATAACCCTTAGGCACTGTAAATACTATAGGTAGGTATTCTTAATTAATTTTAAATTTGTGCAATAATTATGTTCGAAATACGACTTCGATGACGAAAGATACAAACATGTCAGCAGTAGACGAAGAATCTTTGTTCTCCGACGAAGAACTGTTTGCCAACGGTAAGAATACTCTTTATTAATTGTGCTAACAAATTTAATAACTGTTTGTAATGTTTTTAAATCCAAATTTTAAGCGTTTTCCTTACTCAAAATAAGTTTTCCTATATGTTTACAATTGTATAATTATTTGGATATGATCTCCCCCTTCCCACATAATATTTATGTTGTTGGGTATTCTACCAAAGTAAATGTACAATGTATATTTTAATTATACTTTATACTGTATGTATAAGTTAGAACCAAGGATATGACATTTCTATTTTCACTGAATATACACTTGTCTGCTAAAATAACGGTAAAAACCTTTGATTCTTTCTGTAACACGAAACTAATATTTAAACTAGAGTGAAAAGAAGTGCAACGGTATTGCGGTTAACAGTGGTACGAGTTGTGTTGGCTAACAGATAATTATAGAATGCAGCATCCATAAGTTTAATATCTATGATTGAAACATTATTGGTTGACTCATTCTTTCTCTATGGAACTAGGTACACAAAGAAGGGTAGAACAAATAATAAATCAGGGTGTGTAGTGTGTACTACTGTGAAGTCATGAGAAAATAGATTTTCGTACATATATCAGCAACTTTATGATAGACACATGGGTGGTGGTGTTCCACTGTAGTAAACACTACTATCTTAGTCGTCCATCTTATCCAATGTAAAACTACGAGTACAGAAATGGTATCAAAAGTTGGGGAGTTGCCTACAGTAAAATTGTTCATATCTAACTATTTTGTGATGGATAAAATAATTGATTTATATACAACTTGGGTTGAATGATTATAGTAATAGTATCTCTGCAGTTAAGTTATTAGTGTGTATCAATTCAAATTTTCAATGTAGGTACGGATTAGGGATTTAGTAAGTCTATAGGGAATGATGATAAGATAATAATGTTTAGGTAGGTATATGACAGTTTTTTCAATAGGTTATTATTTTTGATAATTTAGGTAGGTACATGCTGTTAGGTAGGTAGTTAGGTACATTACAATTTTGAAATACATTTAAAACATTTTGTTTATGGTAAGATCGAGGATATGATTTATTCATCTGTCTTTTAATTTATGCATTATTATTTAAACAAATCAAACACATGTTAGGTATTTAGGTTATGTTAAGTTTGATAATTAAAGGAAATATATTTAATGGAGTGCTCTTTATTTTTAACTTAATATTATTGTGCCATGAGCTCAAAATTCTGTTTGGTACATTAAAAAAATAATTAAGTACATATTGGGTATTATAAGATAACCACTTCGTGGGCAAATTTTCACAAGTTTTTTTAGGTTTTTCATGTTTATTTTTTTTAATTTATAAAAATTAGATCAACATTTTTACTTTTGTAACAAAGATTTCATATGAATTGTGTCAACTGTTAAATCTTAAGATTTTATGTAAAAAATTATTTTAATTTGGTAATTTTTAAAATTTTAAATAAATCTTAATTTTTATTAGTTTTGATTATATTCGTAATTTAATGTGACAAATTATCTGTATTGGTCCGTTGGATTTTTACAATTTTTCTGCGATTTATGAACATTTTTAAATTGCAATATTTCACATAAATATTAAGTATCTATAAGGCTATAACACACTAGGTAATGTAAGTTATTAAAATATAGTTAAATATACCAACATGCAAAATAATACAGATAGGTAATGAACTTAATTTTAATTTTGATAATAGGTCAATTCACTCTAATATTAAAGCTTACAACACAATATTGATTCTGTTAAATACAAATTAGCCATGTGCATTTGGGTCAGAGAGATAAAATAAATATTGCACTGCCAATCTCTTAATACTAAATTTTAATAATAGTCAATGTATAAAAAATCAATCTTATTATTTACAATATAAAAAATTTTTCATATTATATATTTGAAAAATAATTTTATTAAATTTGTCAATAGGTATGTTAAATAGACAATGTTCTGTTTTTTTTTACAAATTGTTTTTAAATAAGTTAATTTTCAATATAAATATCATGTCTAAGTTTTTATTTTGTGCATAGATACCTAATGTCATACACAGGTTAGGTGCTTAGGTGCACATGGGAGTTGACTTCTTTTGCAGGAAATTTATAGTATAAGCTGGGGTAACAAACCACTTTTGGGTAACTTGGTAAGTTTTGTAAACAATATTAAAAAAATGTCATATGTCAGGAATATGCTGAGGAATATGTTTGTCAGAACTGGGAACCTACGAATATATTTTTTTTTGGTGATTGGGGAATTACAAAAATGTATAAACAAAGTGTAAGAATATTTTTATATCATCTTGAAACACAAGCAGCACCATCTTCATCCATCAATGTATCTCTGTGTTGATTTGATTGCATTATCATCTCGGAAAATAAACTTTCACAACTGTATATTGATTGTTGATACTAGTATTGAGTGAACTATTTTTTAAAGTACAAAATATGATTGGAAGTGAATTCCAAATTTTCAACATCTAATAATTAGATAATTAGTAACTATATTATAATATAAAAATGATAGTAAATAATTGTTTGTTCACTACCTATTACTTTTATTAAACGCAATATTTAATAGTGAAACAAAAATATTTTCAAGTAGGTACTGTTAAAATTTGGCAAATATGTACATGCCATAGGTTCACCACCTCTGATATAGATAATAATATTAAAGCAACTTTAAATCCAACATTAAGATTTGGGTATACATATTATTTAATATTAACAAATAATTTATTTTAGTTTTTCCCAATCAAAATTCTCATTTTTTTTATGTGCAAAATTTTATCTACTGACATCTCAGAGTATGATACATTCTTCTTTATTAAAATAAATCCTGATATATATAAAAATAATTATAATAATAATAAATAATTGTATTATAAAACAATATGATATAATATTAATTAACATATTATTAATGCACTATATTTTCGCTAATCATTAATCACATTTATAAGTACCTATTAATTATTAATAGGTGTTAATTTTTTCTAAGATGTATTTGTAATATTTAGAATCACTTATGGCTAACCTTAATTAACTAACTGATTTTTATTTGTGTAAATAGATACCTAGAATTTATTTATAATATTTATGAATTTAAAATATATATATATATATATATATTATAAATGCAAGGTTTTAAGCTATTATCAATAATATTATGTAGTGTAAAATGGTAAAATGTAGATGACTAATGAATACTTAATTATAACGACTTACATAAAATACAATATAATATTAATGACTTCTATAACTATATAATGATGAATTCAATGTTTATCTTATAGTAGTATAATGTTGCTACAATTTATTTTTAATTGAAATCGTGAAAAGGTGTTATCAAGGTGCATTTTGACCCTGGGTATAATTTATAGGATCCCTTTAAATTGTATCTATTCAATAAGAAGCATTTATTACATTCTATCCCAATTTTTTTACCTCTTCCTCCAAATAATTTTTGTATATGTATTTATGTGTAGGTATACCTATATATATATATACAATATACAGATATTCATTCACAATATAAATAATCAATTGTCTGAATTAACCAGATGTCCGAATTAGCGAGATTCTACAAATCTTAAGTTTTTTTTTTTTTTTTACCCAAATATGAATTATAAAACAAATAATTTGTAAACAGTTTCACTTATAATATTGTTAGGTTGAGTAAACTATTAACTAATAATTAAAGTTTATACGGTGTATATTTATAATTTAAACGATTTAAACCTAAAATAAATCCTACTTAGGTATGGGATTAATACATAATACAAATAACTATAAATATATGGTACTGAAACTGAAGACATAGGTATATAAATATGGAGATACCTAACACGAGTGGGTAAGACACCCTCTTAATGTTTTAGTAATTACAAATTCAATAAATGTATATTTATTGAAAATTATCAATTTTAAATTATAGTTATAAGTTATCTTTATCAACTTTGAATCATAAGTTAATCATAAAGTTGTTTGTATTAGTTATATAATATTAATTTAGAATCATAGTTCTATGATAATATTGTATACCTAAAGGACTTAAATTATTTTTATACTTTTTATTTAAGCGTAAATGCAACACAATACTTAAAATGTTTTGAACCCATGAACTAAATTATTTGATTATTTCTGTCATTGTGGTGACAATTAAATTTTGTTAAAACTAATATTATAACTCGTATTATAATGATGTTAAATATTTTTATTTTTAGATGCAAACGATTGTGTTGTAAAGTTAACTAGTACAGTCAGTTATGAAGACGAGTATCAGTCTTTATTATTTCAAAACAGAGATCGTATAATAACTAAATTAAAAAATGATTTATCCAATGTCTTACCTCCTCCGCCAACAGTAACTACTTGTCGGCTGAGTGTAAATGATATACTAGATAGATGGTATCAACACGAAAAATCAAATTTTCTAACCAAGAAACCTGAAACAAAAGAACTAAAAAATATTGACCGCGCAATTAATTGGCCATGGCCAGAAGTATCTAATGTCCAGTGTTTTGATGTTTAGTAAGTAAAATGTGAAAAAATCTAAAATTAATACCTTTTTTAAATTTGTTTTTTTATTACAGCTATAACATTGATAACAAATCGGCAGAAATGGCATTATTGGAAACAAAGTACCAACAAAGGTATGTTTCAAACGAGACAAAATCCCTCATGAACACAGGATTAACGCCACAGCCTAAAAAAGAACGTGGATTAGTCATTCAACAAGTTAAGCCTGTTGAACAAAGTATACGATTAATTCGAAGAAAACCGGTCTCAAAACCTCAAATATTAGCAGAGGCTAAAGCAAAATTAGCTCTTATTGAAAATAAACGTCGAATTTTAGTGCCAGGGTAAGAATATAATAATTTATCGACATATTTAATATTAATTACATTTATTATTTTTAAAGAAAACTAAAAAGGGAAAATATAAAACCATTAGAGAAAAGTTATCTTGAAAATCGAAATGGCACTGACAGAAGATCAATTAGTCATAAAAGAGCACTATTTCAAAGTCCTGAAATGTATTGTTCTAGAAAACGTGTGTGTTATAGTCAAAATCCAAATTCTGAAGAGTCGTCTCCTCTTAGTGCTCTTTCAATTTGTAGTGATACATCAAATACTACACCAGTCAAAAGGTAATAATTTATAAAAACTTACATTTTAAATATATTTAACATTTAATTTAAGAAAGCAAAATGTAATAAACAAATTATTAACTTAATATTAAAAATATACACATATTGATAGAATAGAAAATAGATGACATACAGTAAAACTTCTGTAAGATGGAAACCCTGGTAACACAGACAATTTCTTTAGTCCCAATTCAAATACAACATAATGAATGTGAACCCCGTCAAGTCGGAAATTCCGATAAGACAGGAAAATTGGACAGCCCCATGTGATTCCGCCTTAGCAAAACTTTACTGTAGTATAGTTATAATAATAATAATGATGCCAATGCTAGTAATAATACTATAGTTTGCTTTACAAATTAAGTGGTGGTTAGTTCCTCCTCCCACCGTGAGGCGTTCTACAGCTGGTACTACAAATTTATTTCAATATCACGCTCTATACTTATACCTATAGGAATTCTGTTTTTGTGTATGAATGTTGCCTAAAATATACCGTTTCGATGCTTAGTGTGGGCTGAGGGCAGGATCACCAACCTCCAGTTCGTTTGATGCAGACTATAATATAATAATACTTTTGTTATTATATATCTGAGATTTTTCATAGCTCATCTTTCAATTTTATTATGTTTACCTACTAAAAAATATGATTACACAATATGAAAAACTGAATATATTTAACGTTGACAAATTATTTAAAAAAAATATTTATTTTTATAATTTTATAGATGGAGTGCTGCTCCTTTGAGTGCAAAATTATTTGGTGATGACCAAGAGGATAAACAGACAACAAATATTACTAGAACAGAACCAGTCAAAAAATGCCAAAGAGTATTGAAATTTTTTAATAATACAGAATCAGCGACTCCGAAAAATTTGTTTAATACAAAACCAAGTCAAAAAGAACTTAGTAAACTTCATAAACAGGTTTGTATTTATATTTTTGCTGTAATTATAAAATTTGGAACTACTTGTCTTTTTAGCTGCATCCCAAAATTTGTTGCATTTTATTTATGCTATTTATCGAATAATTATAAATAAGGTTATTTAGGGATTAATTTTATTGCTGATAATATTATAATATATTACTACATTGGTCTCCATAAAATATTAAATTGTTTGAATCTCTGTACCCATTGATTTTTCACTTATGTCTTCTAAATATAAATTAATGTACCTAGCGATTTGTGTACTATACTTAATGAGTTTTTATGGTGGTATTATGGTATTCATCTTTTAATACCTGATCAATTACCTATAATTTATCATACAGTAAAAACTAAAAAGGAATATGGATATTGCAATGCAATATACTATTTTGGAAGATAGCATACAACATAGTATTATTGTAGTAGGTAGTATACAATATGAGTATCTAAAATTTGAATGTAATATAATAAGTTGTTATAAATACAACAGTGGTAGGAGGATAACTATATTATTACCCTGTTATACCTGTTTAACCTAACCTAAGGGATATCCCTTCACGACAAACAAATATCAATGTTTATTATTTAATTTAAAATATAATATTCAATTTTTATATTTAAGTATGCTATGTAAATAAAAGTTTTCTCTCATTTAAGTGAGTTATAATTTATAATCTTAGCTTTTTTTTATGTGGCGGTATGTGCACACCTACTATGAGCACTTCACCCTTGCTATCGTCCTTCCATTAGCATCATTTATTAATAATCATACTGAGAGAACTATGTATACACAAATGATGTCTGATACTAATAAATTATTTCACATATACAGTAAAACAGGTTTAAGACGCTCCATCTTAATATGCTTATTGTCCTGAGTCCCTTGATGAATTTTTATTTTTTTCCTTTTTGTTTTTTTCAACTGGTGTGGTCCCTTGGAGATTGTTTCAAACGGGTTTTACTGGAACACAAGATAATTCAAAATTTGTTTCAGAAATTATTATGGGCTGTTTCGGAAGTGTTAAAAGATTGTGGTGTCGATAGTCATCACAAGCAATTTCGACCATTTCTTCAACAATTATTCAAAGTAAGTTCTAAACAATGGTTGCAGAAGACAGGTTCAGAAATAAAAACTAGCACTAGTGAAGCGATGCGTGCTCTAGTGATGAAGCACAAGAGTACAGTATTAAAATTTAAATTAAAGTCTCCTAAACATAAAGACAATGTTGTTACATCTAAACGAAAGTCTGTGGCAGACGTAAAAAAAGTATTGTTTATAGATACCCCAAAAACTGATTTTAAGTTTGAAAAATTTGGTTCAGACTTAAAAACAAAAAGTCCAACTATTGAAAATGTAGTTATCAGTAAAGGAATCAATGATTTAGCATTATATCTAGATATTAAAAATTTACCTTGTAACAAAAATACTGAAGACCTACCAAGTAGGCCAGTTTCTTCTACTTCTGACTATTGTTCTAATCTGGATATTGAAACAAAAGATTCAGAAGGAATCTTTGCTGGTTAATGCTTTTATTCAATAGTTGCTAATTAGGTACATATTTTTTTCTTGACTACTGAAACGAATGTAATATTTTTCAGACAGTTAAATGTAAATGTTATCATCCATTTTCTTTTCTTTTATTTTATTTTCATTAATTTATGGTTCAGTAAATTCCCTGATTTAAGTTCTATATTATCTATATTTAATTTAAATTTTTTCTCTTAGTGTTAAGAAGTTCTTTTCAATTTAATGATTAGTCTCTATTTTTTTATTTCTACATTTAATGCTTATATTCTCTAATGTTACATGTAATCATGTACTTATTTTTACTAAGGAATGACTGAAGTATATTTGGTTTTCTGTACTATTTACGCAGATCTCTTAAATTGTAAACTAATATATTTAAATTTAAGTACTTAAAATTTAGTTTATTAAATTAAATTTATAATTAATTAAAAAAGGTAAAAAATAATAAATAATTGATTATGATTACTGTCTCATTTATAGAAAATTTAATGATTCTAGGTATATTATTAAATAAACTTTAAATTATATAATATAGATTTAGTACTTTTACTTTTTTGGTTTTAAAATGTTGTTATAATTATAATACTATTGAATACTTACGATTGATTTTATTTAGTATGTTTAACCAAGTGCATACCTAGTTGATTGGTTATCTAGAAGTAAATTGTTATTAAAAATGCATATTTAATTGTAAATTTTAAAGTTATTTTTTTATAAAAATTCTAAAAATTTAATTTAATTTTGTTCTTTTTTTTTTAAATAAAATGTAAACTAATGCATATTTCTTGTTGTAAAATCAATTTTAATGTTTTCAGCTCTTACATAATTGTTAAAATTTAGATTTCTAAAATAATAAAATGTTTATATATTATATGGTGTTATTATTTGGCTAATAATAAATACTAAATATTAAACGGGTGTATTATTCTTGTTAGTGATGTTTTTTATATGATAGTTGACCTGTTAAACAACAGTAACTTGTACAATTTCCAGTATGGATATGGATATGGATCCAGTTTGGATACGGCACTCTTTATGAATTTACAATTGGTATTATCTGATTATCTAGATTTATTCAATGTGTTAAAAATACTATAAATAATATTAAAACTTAATGAATTAATACTATTTTGTTTATTTTTCTCTTTAACAAATCTTTAAAACATGTTTATTCCTACAGGTGTCCGGTTCAATGAATAATTACTTATTATTTATTAACTCATATATTTCATGATTAATTTTATCATTTACTTGTATGAACATAATATTACTATTCAAACTGACCTATATAGAATACAGATTCAATTGTAAGTTTTTTATGCGGATGGATTTAAGCACCCTAAGCTTACCTCCAGATTTATTTTCTTGAAGTGAGTGAAACCAAATTCAGGAGTCATAAGCTAAGTAGTTCTATACACACATGATGCGAGTCATACCTACTTATTATACTTGGACAATTTTTGCAAATAAAATTGTATATAAGTGTTGAATTAGTATAAATTAAACCAAGTTTTTACTGTTTTTTGGGGTTGACCGCGGTATTGAAATCGGAAACCGGTATGTACCGGTTTACGGTACCTATACCGTTTCACAAAAAACATCATCATCCCTACAGTTTTCGTATATAAATTATAAATAATACACTTATTGGGGGGGGGGGGGTTAAACTTTAAATAAACGATCGTCCCCTCGACTCCTTATTCTTCGTGATCACCCTTTAATGATTTCGACCCTCAACATTTTTTTGTCCATTCATAGAGTGATGGGACTGACGCCAAACGTTTTAGTTTGACTCCGCTGACGATTAACGGTTGGGAATTCGATAATTTTGATTTTGAGATGCCTTGGTATATAAGTGTGGTAAGAGATTTAGTATTTTGATAATACTAAACTCATCTATACGTCTGCGTGGTCAATCGCACCACAACAGAACATTCGTCTCACAAATTTCCTGGTCCAGCTCCACACCGAACGACGCGGACGTCTAGGTGTGACTGCGGTTACCGCCGGGTCCGTCCCCTCATCACTACGGCCAAAGTATGTTACCGTATCCGTTACCATAAGCCGCATGTCGGCTTCTACCTTTTGTAACCGTAGCAATGACGACGAGACTACGGATAATGACGTCTCGATTTCGCTATCTTCTACAGCGGCGCAGCTATAGTGTCATCGATGAGGCAATAGACGTTCCGACGGTGAATCGGTTGAAACTACCAACTCCGCGGACCAACGCAATCCAATTTTGGGTGCATCGCCTCTGGAATTTGCACCCACGACCACATTGATAATGACACAGATCTCTTGCAGTGCACCGGCAAACTAGGGAAATTACCGATTTAAGACAGATTCTGTTTATTTTCCTGGAGATCGTCGACAGCCTGTAGTATATTATTATATTTGTCATTGATTTCCATCCGAACAATGGTACTTTGGCTGCGGGATTTGTCCACACGGCCATGTTAAGTAAAGACATAAACCGTCTGTGAATCGTCAAGCTATTGAAATCGCAAGGTAAATTTATTCGTAATATTCTCAAGACGTAACAAATCAATACTGATTGGTAATTACTGTGACACAGAAACGAATAATAAATTTTCCAAACACTTATGCACTTGTAAACAAGATGTTTGTTGTTTTTGTAAAACTGAATGTATCTTTTTTTTAACATTATATATGTACAAGTGCAGTGCCGCATTTAGACATTTTGAGCCCTGGTGTAAAAAAATATTGGCTCTCCTAGGCCCCGGTGAAAAAAAATTGTTACCCCCTAAGGGGCCTACCCTCGGAAAATATGGGAGATAGTCAGATAGATCCGCGTTAACCTTTTAGATTTTGAGCACAGAAAAGAATATTTGTTTTACAATGTGTGCTTTTTTTAAAAATATTGTTTAGTAATTGCTTGATCTTCTCTCTGCAAAGATACATTTAAATTTATGTCACTTAAATCTTGCTTATAATTCATCATATAAGTTATTTTTTTTAAATATTTAAGTCGGTACTTCATGAATAAATAAAATAAAATGATATAAAACTGCAATTTAATATTATAATTAAAACAATTTCAAACAGCATAATACTATATATATAATACTATTATACTAAATTATATTATATAATACTGTAAATAAGTAAACAAATTTCTGACCACAACATTTTGGAGCCCCTAAAATACTGTCGCAAGAGGCAGTTGTACCCAGCTCCCCCCCTAAATGAGGCCCTGCACAAGTGAACAACAATTATTTATTAAATTCTTATTTTTATTTTTTAGATGAATTTAAATTTGCTATGTATAGTAATAGTAGGTATATGGAAAATAAAACAAAAAAAAAAACCACGGGGAAAAAACCAAAATGATAATATAATCAATATTTTTGCGATATATCTTTTTCTTTTATTCTAAATATTTTTTTTAATACATTTGACTTAGCTGGGTACTAACTAATTACCTAGTTTTAATTCATATTAATTTGGGTACTTCATTACCTAGTTGAATTTAATGTGTAAAATAATCTAATCTGACTCGTTAAAAATAATAAGTAATTAGTTTTTTTTTTGTAGTTTATTATTTAATTTATTTGTTGCAATAGTCAAGGTTTAGGACCACACAAGTATATAAAATTAATATTAAATTATTACGCATGGTGTACGTGGCACAATATATTAATTACTATTAATAAGTACCACAGGGAAAAGTTAGTTTCTAAAGTAGGTACTAAAAGAGGAATGGCGGACAATTTCCTCCGGACATTTTCCCCCCATTTTTTTTTTAAGTTTATTATTTATTATTTAATAAGAAATTATTTTTTTTCAGTAAAATATAATTTTTTTTTATAAATATAATCAATTATACTATATTTACCTATTATAGTAGATATATATTTTTGATCAATTCAACTACAGTAGAACTCCGATTATCCGGACTAATTAATGTCAAGGGTGGTCCGGATAAGCAAATATCCGGATGATTGACGTATGACATTTTAAAAGTTATTTAGGGACATTGTAACACGAAAATTCACTCGTTATAATAATATAACAATTGACAGACTAAACTGTGTGATGATTAGACAACAACTGACCATTGGGGGGTGCATAGGGGACTTTTGCACCACCAAGTTAACAATTTGAACCCCCAAAATATAAAATACTTATATTTTGAAGTAAATATTATTAATAAATACAAACATCTTGTAAGTGGGTACTTCACTATTATGTTCCAACATTCCCAGCTAGTATAACACAATAACATAATAACAGTATAACATAATATTATGATATGATCTTTAGCTTAGGACCTTTTTTTTTCGTCCGGTTAATTGGACGTCCGTTTGATTGGCGTTCAGATAATCGGAGTTCTACTGTACTTGAAACAATAAAATAATAGTAATATTATATTTAAAAGATTGTCTAAATAAAAAATAATAGTACCTACTAGCTACTAGCATACTGTATTATTCGCTAGTAACATTGAAATCTAAAATTGTATCTAAAACCCAATCAATTGCTTGGCTGTAAAAAACTATCTTATTATTTTATATATTAGACTATTAAGATAAGATTCTTCTACAATCTTATATCTTCATGAGCAAAGGTTTTTGCGTCTCCCAAAGGAATGTTAGAGTTGTCAAAATCGACCAATAGTGGTGTATGGATGGAACATTTTTTACTTGTCCTAAAGAATTTTACCAAGTGTACATAATTCATGCATGTATTAAAAACACATCAATTCCGTGTGTTTATGCTTTATTACAAAGACAAAATAAAGAAATCTATGTTGAAATTTTATCAAAACTTAAAAGTATGTTGTCTGAGTTGAAATTAAAAACTATAAGTATTGACTTTGAACAATCAATGATTCAGGCTATTGAATTAGTATTTATTGACATTAATATTCAATGTTGTTATTATCATCTTTCCCAAAGTATTTGGCGTAAAGTTCAAAACACAGGATTAGCTAAAAAGTACAAAGAAAACGAAAATGTTCGTCAAATGGTTGG